CGGGGGCGCTTCGTCGCCCGACGACGCCACGCCGCGGTCGAGCGCGCCGCTGCTCAGCCCGGCCAGGGCGTTTGCCAGCCACTTGCACTTTGCGGGCGGCGCTGGGCACGCGGCCGCCAGACCGCCCGGGTCTCCTGTGCAGGGTGCCAGGATCCAGACCACCTTTGACCCGCCGCCGACGAGGTAGGACGTTTGGGGCTTTCAAGGCGTTGACTTTTTTTTTTTTTAACTATTTTAGTAAAAGGAACTTGTGTAATTTCAGGCACGGTACGGAGTAATTGGACGATAAATACCCAGGCGGCACGGGCTGTCGCCTTGTTCCTAAATCACATCAGTCACGAATATAAAACATTGAATGTAAATATGAGGCCGCCACGCTGTGACGTAAACAATACTTCATCATTGTCGTGGTTCTGCCCCTGCCCAACCTGCCCCCCTGACCATGGAACTAGTACTACATTCATGCCCGCTATACAAGAGAAAAAACAAAAACAAATAACGAGTAAATGGAACCAAGGCCCAAATCAAATGACATGCATAGGTTGACACACCCCCTGATCGTGCGGGTAAAATAGCCATCCAACTCCATGGGTATCTGACCTTGACGGCCAACGAGACAAATATAGACAGGTGTCGTGGATTCCCTTGGATGAAAAAAAAAAGAATATGATATTGAATTTTTCCCATTTTCCGCGAAATTGATAATTTGAAACAATGATCCCCCCCCAACGCCAAATTATATGCTGTCGTCGAACCAAGACTCTGCGCGGGATTCACTTCGTAGACGCTCGTTCTGAGACCTGAACCACTCCCGTCCTTGTTCCAACTCTTGCCGTATGGCCCTGAGTTCGCCGGTGAGCTTCTCCGCCTCGCTCATGATTCGCTTATGCTTGCTACGCTCTGGGACGTCCTTCTCGGCCGCATTCGCATCCTCAGACGACCTCTTCCTCTTATTCGTGGCTGACTCGTCATCCATTGCACCAAGTCGCGACATTTCGAGGCTCTCGGCACCTCCGCTCATAGACGCCCGTCGAACCGAATCGTCTCTGATGGTTGATCCGAATGCCGGGCTGGCGTAGTGGCCAGGCCGTTCCATCATGTCGCGCGCCATGGACTCGGGCACGGCAGTGCCATCGGGCAGCTGCACAATGCCCATAGCTTTGAGCCTCCACCGAGCCGACGCATTGCTCGTCGACCTAGAATGATCGGGGGGCTCGCTCTCCCTCGAGGATATGGAGGGCAGGGAGCGGCGGAACCGGCCGGGTTTGGCTAGGTAAAGGTCGCGCAGCGCCTTGGTCTTTCCGCCTAGCTTCCTGCTCGAGTTGGGCGATGATTCTCGCGATTGGCAACTTGTGGACACAGAGTTGGTCCGGGACCTGAACTCTTGCCTCACAATCGAGTCGACGGCATCGTGCTCATTGTCCATGCCGGATAATACCCCGCTGGAGAGAAGCGCCTCGCGGGCTTTCCGTCTGCTCACGTCCTTTTGCTTCAACATGTCCATGAATTCTTCGGCATGGTTGACCTTGGCGAGTTCCGCTCGTTGCTTGGCAGCTCTCTTAGACGCCTCTTGCCGAGCCCATCTCTCAGCAGCATGTTGCGACGCGTAGAACGCTCGAAGTTGGTCTCGACCACTTCGCCTCACAGAACTTAGACGCTTCTCTCTCGCATTATGCCTCCATCGGTAAAAGTATTTGAGAGAAAGATTATATGTCCGGAATTGCTTAACCTTTTTGTTTATGGCTTCCTCCTCTTCCCTTCTCCGGTTTTCTTCCACTTCCTGTTGGAATTTATCAAATGTCTCTCTAGCAAGTTCATCAATCATGTACACTTGAAATTGATCAAGCAAGCCATTGTCGCCCATGACAAACCACCTCGTAAAGTCGCCCAGCAGGTCTCGGGGTTTCTCAGCAGGTTTGGGTAGTGCCGCCACAGCTGGAGCTCTCGACTCTGCACTGCTCGGGAAAAGTGCAGGTTTCTCGCGAGGTTGTCCAGATGTGGACGGTTCTTGAAGCACGCTACTGGGTATGGCTGGGCCGGACACGCTTGATGATGATTGCACGGCAGGAAAAGGAGGTTTGCCAGCTGTCAGAGTCGAAATTGCCGGCGACGAAACCCCGCCAAGGCCAATAGCTGAGGATGTTTGCGATCCCAAAACGTTGGGTTGTTTCGCGGCATCTGGTGTACCATCTGAAGCCTTGGTAACGGACTTGCCGAAATCCTGATTCTCAAAGGACGGACCAGATTGGAAGCCCCCAACCCCGAAAGTGGCTGGCTTTGCTTGTGGTGAAGCTGAAGAATCAGAATTTTGTTTGGCGACGTCTGACGTATTAGGCAATGCTTTGGGCTGTGGGAGCGGAGGAGGCGGCATAGAGAACCCTGGCGTCGGCTTGATAGCATCCTGTGTTGGTTTCGGCACACCCAGTAGCCCAGAAGAGAAAGGATTGACACCCTGAGCGCCTGGACTACTGTTTGACAAAAGCGAGTTGGGTGTCGTGGATGGGAAACTTGGTTTGCTTCCTACCATTGCAGGCTGATCAATGGCCGGTGACGCTGGTGCGAATGGGTTCGTAGTAGGAGCATTTCCAAACACAGGTTGGGCTTTACTCTCATCGCCATTGGTCTTTGATGCAAACAGTGCAGGCGTTGGCCCGCTGGATGCAAAGGGGTTGGGTTGAGTACCGGCTTGAGGCGTCGACACCGGAGCAAAGGGGTTTTTGGTAGTATTAGACTGCGAATTATTAAAAGTGCCAAACGGGGTCGAGGCTGAGAAGTTTCTGTTAGCAATGTTCTTGTAGGCGTGCATCTCCTCCGTGGTGAATGAATAATCAGACCTTGTTGAGCATTGGGAGTCGCCCCCGTCCCAGACAACCCGGTTGTTCCAAATGGCGAGGCTGTGGATGTAGTTGCAGGTGCAGCACCCGTTGTGAGCCCGAACCCGCCGATATTTGGTTTCGCTTCTGACTGAGGTTCGTTGTCCTGTACAAAAAGACTACCCTCAGTCTCCAAGCCATTGACTTTGACCGTGGCATTGGGATCTTCGAAAACAGTGCGATGTATCACTTCAGGAAGTGGTATTGGCCCTCGTTTTCGTTCCACCAATCCCTGCGAGAACTGGTGCTGCAATCGGCGGTGAGGAAGCGGCTGCTTGCCATCGAGAATTAAAATCTTTCGTTCAGTGTCGAACGGGCTGTCGGGATCTTGAACGAATTCCAAGTTATGGAGTTCGGCAAAGTCGATGGCCTGCTCCACAGTGTCGAATTGCAGAAACTTGTTAAGTGCTGCCGCCGTTACATCCCTGGCTGGGTCCTTTGGTCTCGAAAGTGCGCGCTTGATGGTTTGCAATATTGATCTTCGGAGCTGAGGAAAGTGGCATTCCGCAAAGCATGCCATGGTATACGAGACCTTTGGGTCTCGAACAATCCGAAAATATGCCAGTGAGGCTGCCGAGGCGGCCAGTGAAGGTCCATTCTTTAGCGGTCCATGGAAATCGTGTGTATCTTGAAGTGCTTCGACCAGTGACACTGCGGTTCTGACCTCGTCTGAGTCGCGCCACAGAGCCGACTTCCACTGTCGTTGGAGGGTTTCTAGGATGCTCGGGTCGCGCGCGTGGAAAACTAGATAATATGCTCGAAATTCTGGTTCGTTCTCGCATTCAATCCCCTGTTCGTTGCAGTCATCGTAAACGTCTCGAAGTGACAAGAGGGCTTTGCCAAGCTGCTCCAGCTCTTGTTGTTGGACAAAATCCTCGGGTGCCTTGCCTGCCTGTGATAGTAAATGCAAGGATGTAACATGAAATCTTGCGATATTCTCCAACACGTATACTTGAGTTTTGATCTCCTCTGGAGTAAGTGACGAGAAAAATGAAAAATCCCGGCGAATGGCGCGAGTGCGATCCCAGAGAAAGCCGTGCACTGCTGCCAAGTTTTCATCATTCCGCAACAGCTCGTCTAGAAGATAATCCAAGGTCCGGCGCAGGGCCGGAACAGATCGGACGTCCATGGGAAGGGGAGCTTCTTGACCAGCAGCTGACCGAGCCAGCTTCTTCACCATTTTGGTCGTGTTGGCATATGAAGTCCGGGGATCCTTCTCGGCCTGGACCACGTCCAGCTCTGTAATCCTCGTAATCTTCTCAAACTCTGGACACATATCCTCGCATATACCCTTGAATTCAATGGCATCGCTCAGGGCTTTGCGTTTCTCTGGGTCATCGATTAACCCGGCCTTGGTCAGAGACGCTCTGACCTTTTTGCGATACGTTTCATACTGCTCGCGGAATTTCGCCATTGCTTGTTTATTTTTCGGGTTTCCTGGCTGCGACGGCCAGGAAGGTGGGCCAATGCCATCTTTGCGTAGCCGGTCATAGACCTTCCGGGCCAGAGGATCCGTCGAGTTGTACGGAATTACAGGGACAGGTTCGTCGCTCATTTCGTCAGATAAAGCGCTCGAAGGCGACGTGGCTCGCGAGTCTTGCCCATCTGGTTGTGATGGCTGAAGCGATCCATTCTGATTGTCTGCTTTATGTTGCCGGGATCTGCCTTTGCCCTTGGGCTTTTTCCCGCCGGTATCGAATGGACTGCGTCTTGCTTGTTGCTTGCCACCACCATCACTCAGGCTGCTGTCTGTCGTTTGAAACGGATTAGGTCTCGCTCTGCGCTCGTTTTTCGTTGAGTCGCCTGCAACATCGGTGCTGAATGGATTTTTCCCGCCCGTGGACGGGGTTGGGGCGAAAGGGTTGACCACTGGCGCCGAACTACGCGTCCCTTGGGCGAGAGACGAAAACATTGGTTCGACGATGCGACGAACGTCGCATGCACCTATGTTGTCGGCTTGCACATTGAGGGTGGCTCTCGGGCGCCCGGACGCGGATGTTGAAGGCAGTTCGGGCGCGCAGGCAGATGTTAAGTCTTGATGTCGCGGAGAAGCTATTCCGAGGCTTCAGGTTGAGCTTCAAGAACCCACTACAGCTTGGCTCACGTGACACTTTGCGATTAGCTGCGCACGCTACAGGCCAGAGGCAATGGGGCTGAAGGAGACCAAAAATTCCAACCTTTAGCTTTGAAGAGAGCTGCGCATAACTTTGCTATTAATTTATTATGCTTGATATTAAATGTAATAAAAAACCAATACTCAGGTCTTTAGAGCCACTGGATCAAGGCCTAGTAGTGCCTCCTGATGCAGATCCAGCAACTTGGTCAACTAGCCCTTCGCGGCTGGGTCTCTCAGGTTCTTCTTTTCTATTTTCTTCAACATATTAGCACTGCACCCCTCAAAACCACTCGCCTCTTGCTCTCTTGACGGATCAAAGTAGACAGGGCGACCTCAGGGACAAATAGCCGGGAGACGCGGCGCAAGCCCTGCTGTACGCCGTGCGTGAAGCCAGCCCTGAGGCGCACATCGTGGACGGCCTAAACGCGATGCCGCCGCCAGCATCGGCATGCGACCGTTTTAGCAAGAGGGCCAGATGGATTTCGACTGATGGATGGTATCTGTGACAAACTCTATACCTGCAGCGTATAGTCAACCAATCTAGCGACGCAGCATTTCCCATGAGCCTGCTATTGATGGTCGAGGCCAACGAAACCATCGCGTGGAGGCTGTCATGAAGGATCTCCAGGACAAGGTCGACGACTTTCTAGAGAATCGACAAACCTGGAGCCGCGGGGGACGGAGCACTCCAGGACTGCACATGAAGACACGGAGTAACTCAAAGAGCTAAATCAACGCCTGAAGACGAGCGGTGTAAAACGCGGCTACCCAAAGATGAATTTTCAGTTGTCATCCACTGCGGTCCGAGTTATGAGGCCGTCGAAGAGTGTGATAAGTCCAAACAGGCTCAGAGGGATCTTCGGGAGATTGTGGGCGAGCGGCTCTTCAAAACGGGACAAGATACCTCGCAAAGGCCCCCGACACTCGAAGGCGAACACGTCAAGATGCGAGGGAATCTAAATCTAACAATAAAAACAACGAGATGCAGCTGGGCTGTCAACCGGGGACACCATACAATCCTAGATCACGAAGACATGTACGAAGCTTTCCTACCTTTCCCATCTCAAAGGGGTGTTTGACTAGCAGAGACACCAATGGCAGCCCTTATGAAGTGGTTGGCAAGAACCTACAGGCGTTTCTCGTCATGTTTCGTAATCATTACTCCGAGGACCCAGAAATTCCCAGAACAAAGGTGGCTGGTGGCGTCCAGGGACGCCCAACACAAGATGGCCCGAGCCGTCCAGCGTGCCAGAAGCACCGACATGTAGTCATCTCGAGCACATCCAACGTGGGCCTGAGGACAGATCGCAGCGCAAGCAGGGATGTGCAGGACGAGCTGCTCTCCGTTTTGGCCTGCAACAGTAACGGCTGCCTACTCGACCAGAGCCAGAAAGAGGGCTACGACTTGAGCTTCCTCGGCGACAACGTGTGCGTTGACCCCGTGCCCTTCCTACAGTCCTGGAACCGCATCCGGCGCAGCTCGGTTACGACGGCGATTGCTCCGGGAACGGCACCCTATGTATGATCTATCATTGATCTTGTAAGAAATATTGATACGGACAAAGACCTCAGCCCCTTCATGGCCATTGTTCAAGTAACTCGACCGGCAGTACCCGCCTGCGGTTGTACCGCTGGCAGGCTGGGGCCGTGAGTCGCTCCTCTTCGATTGGGACAGGTGTGGCCGTGATAGCTAATTTTTGGGGTGGCACCCTCACAAAGAAGAACTTGGACCTCTAATCAATGCTTTTGTGACGAGCCTCTGTTTTTGCTGGCTGTATGCATGTGCGAGCGGACATGGAAGCTGGCGAGCACACCCATCGTCTGCCCATCGGGCAGCCTTGGGCCACCGCCTCGCCTCGCCACCAACTCTTTATCAAGCCCGTGTTTGGTGTTTTCGCTTTCCAATAGCTTTCTGGGGTCGTCTCCATCTCCCACCGGATAAAGCATCCGTCTCTAACATCCATCCTTCAAGTATTCGCGCAATAGGATTTCTGGTCAATAATCTAATCCTCGACATTGACGGTAAATTGCCCAAAGGCAAGATCAAGCTCCCGCCTTCACCCGAGAGCGACTCGGTTCACTACCCCCAGGCCCCAAAAGGTAAAAACCCCATTCGGCCGCAATCTCCGGCCTCTACTTCGTCGATGGAGGCTGCGCGGCTATGGGATGCGGCGTACAACCAGCTCAAAGAAGAGCATCCGAAGATGATGAGGTGGTACGAGGTAATTTTGGAAATTCTGTCTACCGGCATTCGGAGACGAGACTTTCATTCGACCCTGCTTAGTCCAATATTTCCGATGCCCGCCGAAAACATGATCAACCAGGCGGATACACTGGCCAGACGCTTGCAGATGCAGCAACTAATAGACACCTGGTTCAACGAAATCGGTGAAGAGTCGAGCGACGAGGTAACTGGCCTTCAGAAGATCGCGCAAAGTATGCCACATGCCGCCCTCGCCTGGGCTGGTGCTTGTTACTCTTTAATGGTACGGAATAATGTCTTCCAGACTGAGCACGCATAGATCTGACAACCGATCCCATATACAGGTTCTGCTCATCACTCAAAGTCTGGTGACGGAGGCCAAGAGTGATTACTTGGATTTTATCAATCTCATATCCAAGCTAGAGTGGTTTTGCAACTTGCACAGGGTTCTGACACCACCCGCCGGTGACAATGAAGAAAAAGTCGACGAGGTCCACGATGAGCCCAGAAAAAAACTCATCGACCTATACAGGGCCATTCTATTGTACGAAATAAGAATTGTGTGTTTTCATTTTGGCCGCCTTTATTTTGATTTCGCCGGCGTCACCCACGAGATCGAACAAGTCCCACTCGACAGAAGCGAGGCAAAACGCCAAGTAGATGAGGCAGAGAAGGCCTTTTCGCTATTAAATTGTTCTCAAGTCAAGGTGCAACTTGAGAAGCTTCTTGAAGAGATATCTGTCCACGATAAGGAGCAGTCGCGACCGGACAAGGAGAGCCAGTTAATGCGGGACTTGCACATAGCCCTGAGGAAGTGGACGCGGCGTCTCGAGCCGGGAGGAAGCTATTCTCTGCCCGACCTTTACCAGTGGATTCTATCGACGCAGGAGTATAAGGAATTCCTTGGTTGGGACAAGGCTGATCCGAAATTGCTGTGGGTGAGCGGAGACCCTGGTCGAGGTAAGACGCTGCTCTTCGCCGCGATCGCAAGTCAGCTTTCAGCAAGGGGGAAAGAGGAGCCCGTTACGGCCAAGTTGGCCTTCTTCTTCTGCGGCAGCAGCACATTTAGATCAGACAATGTAGCAGCTGTGCTGAAGGGTCTGATCTGGTGCTTGCTTGAGCAGCAACCGTTACTTGACAGGCACTGGGACGAACCGCGCACTTCAACTCGAGGAAAATACCTTGACGACCAAAGTGACTTTCTCGCCTTATCGCGGGCATTTTACAGCATGATACAAGATCCCAACTTTGAAAAAACATACTTCTTGGTCGACGCTATCGACCAGTGCTCCACTGATGATGGACCTGGCCTGGATGACTTCTTACACTTGATATCTGTATCAAGGTCCTTGTCGTCCAAGGTTCGATGGCTAGTGTCTAGCAGCTACACAGACACTACTGAAATGGCATTAGAAGAAGGAGGAGGCTGTTGCCATTTGAGCCTCGATGCTAGTCCGAGCCCTCGAGCTCTTATTGAAGCTGTGGACAGACACATAACTCACAAGGTCTCTGAATTGGCCCAAGAAAAGAGCTACGGAGAGGCTCTTGAAAGCGAGATAGTGCGGAAAATCCGACAACGGCCCCATCGTAATTTCTTGTGGGTAAACATTGTTTGCACAGCTCTACGGGAAGAAGAGAAGTGGTATGCCGTCGAAGTCTTGCAGGAGATGCCCGACGACCTACAGAAATTGTACGACAAAATAGGATCTAGGATTCAGCAACTTCCTCGCGAGGAGCCTAGCTTCTGCAGAGAGGTTCTTTCGACAATGGCTGTCGCCTATCAGCCGCTGCATATATCCGAACTATCAGCCCTGGCGGAACTTCGGGAGGGTGTGGACGTGTTGACCATAGTGAAGAAGTGCTCTCCGTTCTTGGAAGTTCGCGATAACTTTGTGTGCTTTCAGCACCTGTCTACCAAGGACTACGCGCGACAGCATATTTTCCTGCCGTCGGCCACCTCGCAAGCCCACTTGCGTATATCGGAACGGGCCATCAACTCCTTATCCGCCTTTCTAGACGAGGAAATACTTACCGGGTCGGCTGTCGCTACCAAGCAGGTTGACCTAGAGGCCTGCCTGGCTCCGGTTAGGTATACGTCAATTTACTGGATGAGACATATACGTGAGATAACGAATATTGATAAACATCCGGAAGTGACAGAGGCGGTGACTTTGTTTCTGGAAAACTACTTCGTTCACTGGCTCAAGATCCTGGGCTCGATGGGGCGACTTTCGACGTCTGCGACTATGCTGTTACGTCTGGAGGCGTTCTTGGTAGTAAGTTTACGTCCATCTTTGCATACTTGTTCGGTCAGGACATTTCGTTTCCTTTATGGAGTCATAACGACTGATTGAACAAACAGGCTAAGCTGAGTAGCACAAACAAGCTGCTCCCGGTCGTTCGTGACGCGCATCGACTCCTCCGTTTTCACAGATCAGTCAACAGACCGGATGCATCCCTGGTCCAGGATACCCGTCTGTTCTGGCCCAGCTCAAGCGTCGTGAAGCAAGGATCAATGCCCCAGTGGGTAGTCACCCGGCCATTGATGGAAAATCATCCAAGCCACGAGTTTCAATCTCTCCGTGGCCATGGCGACTATGTTCGATGTATCGCTTTCTCCGCTGATGGGACCCAATTGGCCTCCGGCTCGGATGACAGGACTGTGCGCATCTGGGACGTCCAGGCAGGGACGGCGCAGCATACTCTCCGCGGCCACACCCACTGGATACTCTGCTTGGACTTCTCTCGCACTGGTCTCGTGGCATCGGGAGCGGCCGACTCAACCGTGAGGCTCTGGAATGCCACAACTGGACGTCCCGTCGGAACCCTCTCAGGCCATTGGGGGTGGGTGGATGCCGTTAGCTTCGCGCCGAATGGCAAAAAGCTCGTGGCGGCCTCCGGTCAAAGCTTGTATGTCTGGGATCTTAGTGTGGATAATAAGCCTGAGCTTTGGAAGAGGTTCGAAGCACACGGGGGCTCTATCAGCAGCGTCGTGCTCTCGCCCGACGGGAGATTCTTGGTGTCGGGCGGGGAAGATAAAAAAGTTAACATTTGGGACGGGCAAACTTACGCGCTCCTCCGAACCCTCAACGGCCACGAGGAAGCCATCAATTGCGTTGCCTTCTCCCCCATCGGCCATCACATCGCCTCTGGCTCAGACGACGCAACTATCCGAGTTTGGGATGCCTTGACGGGCAACGAGATACAAAAGCTGTCACGGTCGAGCGACCATGTTTTATCTCTTGCATTCTCGAGCGACCAAGTTCTATCTCTTGCATTCTCGCGCGACGGTTCTCAACTGGCAGTAGCCAGTAGAAATTGCGTCATTGACGTATGGAATTACAAGATGGAGCAGCTCACTCAGGTGCTTCGTGGACACACAGATTTCGTAACTTCGGTCGCATTCTCGCCACAGGGTCCGTATCTGGCTTCGTGCTCTCAGGATTTCACGATACGGCTTTGGTACGACGAGCCCAAGGAACAGGCAAACGTCCATGAAGTAGAGAAAGAAGCAGACAGTTTCCTGGCTGATGCCCATCGCATCTGTGCGCTAACTGTCTCCCTCGACGGCCGCTGCGTGGCGTCTGCCATGACGGACGGCACTATCCACCTATGGGACGGCGAGACAGGCAAGCGACTGCGCAACGCCGAGCGTATGGGACACGACGACGAGGTGAACTCGATCGCCTTCTCACACGATGGACAGAGTGTAGCGTCTGCTTCCAACGATCGAACCGTCCGGGCCTATCACGTACCCAGTGGAAAGTTACGGCGCTCGTTTTCCGGCCACGAGGCCCCGGTTCGGTGTGCAGTGTTTGGGCCAGACGGGCAATTCATAGCATCGGCGTCAGATGACTCCACCGTACGCGTCTGGGACTTGGAAAGCAGAAATGGTGATCCCCCGCAGATCCTGCGACAGCCCGAAGGCTACGCCCCGGCCGTCGCTTTCTCCCCCGATGGACAGTACCTTGCCTCCGGCGGAGTCACGGTGCAGGTCTGGGAGCGCGAGTCGGGCTCCTCGACGTGGAGAGAAAAGATCATAATAGACTCAAATCCGCATTACTTTCCGTGTTTTTTTCACTTGGTACTTTTTTACCCGGACTCACGCAGGATTCTCTTGTCGGACGGCCTCAAGTTGCGAACATATGACGTGCAGACGGAACAATTCGAGGGACCTCTAATCAAGATCGCAAGGTGGTTCTCGCGGACACTGTGGTTCGATGGCATCTCCACCGACTATGTGATGACCGCGTACGGCGCCCTTCCTCTCATATGTCCAGGGTCCTCACCTGTCGAGCCCGAGACACAGCAGCCACAGTCATTGCCACCTGGGCGACACCCGTACGGCATCAGCTACAGCGACGAGGACGAGAACTGGTATATTACATGGAGGAACGAGAAGGTTATCTTCATCCCAGCCAAGTATGTACCCGCTTACTCACACGTTGACGGCCACAAGGTTGTGCTGGGGTGCGCTTCAGGTGATGTGCTACTGTTTAGGTTCTCGACGGAGATGACGCCGCATGAAGCCGGTCTCGACGTTGACCTCAAATGCAACGTGGAATTTGGACCTGGCCAAGGACGAGGCCGGTGGCTTAGCTGAGTCTAGATATTTGGGGTCTGCAGAAATGCTGCAGTCTCTGAATTCATTGATGGGTTCTAGTCGATTCAACACCCCTGCTAGCAGTTCAAGAAGGGCTTCTCAATTGAGGAATCCGCAGTTCCGTAGAGGTCTGTCAGGCCGCGGCATGTCTTTTACCCGACTAGCTAGAAGATAAAGCTGCTAGACACATGAGTCACTGGGAGTAGTGGCACGGTCCGTTTGGCCGGTTCCACTGGTTGCCATGGTGTTTTATTAAGGGGAAGCAGTGCGCACAAGTAAAAAGAAGCAGTGGCGAATAACAGTACATTGACAGAATTTGCCAGTAAATGACTGAATTCAATCTGGCGCCGAATACCGAATTATCAGTGCCATCCGTTGGAACCATCGTCGACGCAACAAAGTCTTGCTCAAGATGCAGCATCATTACACCTCGACAACCGCCTTGTGCCATTCCTTGTCTTTAAAGTATGCCACAGAAAACTTGTCCTCGTTGTCCTGGTCATTGAAATACACCTCGAGGCGATGTTGGCCAGGCTTGCCATGGAGCTCCTGCTGTCCAAGAGAAGAAATTCCAGTGCCCCGTGTCACCTTGTACCCTTTCGCGTTGATGAGACCAGTCCTCCATTCACCGTCATGCACGTGCCACCAGGCAGCTTTGATATAGTCATTTTGCACATAGTAGACGTGAACCTGTCGAGTACAGTGTCGTTAGTGAGTGGAATCAAATCATGTTACCTGTTCGCAAACCAGGGGGAGACTTGCCTGCTCTTGGTCAAAGAGAGTCGAGGTCAGGGTACGAGTGTCGCCAACAGCGGCAGTGGACACTCCGTCATTTTTCATGGATACCGAGTACTCTGCGTAGGAGCCGGTGCCTGAGCCCTTCAGGTAGCAAATCTTGTTCTTGGAATCAAAGTAGAAGATGTACGTTTCACCGCTTTCAGTGCGGGTGGCGGATAGAGCGGAAGAAGCATGTTTATCATCACCGGGCTTGGGAGAGGGTTAGTGAGTTCAGCTAAGACTCGGCTGGAAGCACATACCGCAGGTTTGAGAGACATGATTGCAGGTTTTAGTTTTACGATGGGATGCTCAGAAGTGTACTTGACGCGAATATGGTGTTGCTGGATGTGCCTGTATATACGATGGAGGACGTGAACTCTTTGCTTCTCTTGTTCTGTTTAAATACTCTACCAAGACTGCTCTCGGGGATTTTTTTGGGACCACACCCTGAAGTTGCAACGGTAGCATTCATGCTGGCAGGCATGGGTTGATAGGCAATAGTGAGGCTGACATTTAGAAGGGCTGTCAATTCACCGTTTCAAAGAGGCAGCATCGGCATCTCATCCCGAGCCGTCATATGGCCATCAGGTAGATGCCCGATGCACTATCCTTGGCGGGAACGCATGTCTGCCAGTTCAGCCCGTTCCAAACCTTCCCATTGCCACCCATCATACCTGTGGGTTTCGAAGAGTGTGAGGGGGTTGCAAGACCAGAGTGACGAGGCTGTGATAAGTTGTGTTGCGACTTGTTTTTTATCCTATTCAGAGCAATAGTTAGGACAATCCTTGTAAGACATTATCGTCTGGGTTCAACAATGCCCTCTGCTCGTATTGACGGGATATATAACCCCGCAACATCATCCTTCGGGTATAACCGCGGGCAAAGTCATGTACAATGTTACCAGTGACCACCTTGTCTCATGCTACATAAGGGATTTCTCTTGGCAATTAGCAAAATTGGATAAGAGCAACATCAGAGAAAGATGTAGCGGAAATCTCCCTCATTTCCTTCTTGTCGCTGGGCGGTCCTTGTTTCATCTCCAAAACGTGCAAAGGACTGTTCGCGGGAAGCTTTACCGGATCGAATGTTGTCACGTCGCACGACAGATTTCGTATTACAAATGATGGCCGCGGCTGACCACCACATGCAAAATCATGCATGCGGTCATGATGGTGGCGGCGATGAATATTTGACACATCATGAAAGCCAAAGGGTCTAGTCACTATTGCAATGACAACCAAAATAAAGTTGAGCCGGGGAAGACGTTCCGCGTCTGCCTTGTGCAGTAATGACTTTGGAGTAAAGCAGTCTTGACGCCGTGCCATCGTGGTTGCAGCAACGGCAGAGAGGTGTGACAATTCCAGCGCTTTATTGGTTTGACGTCGGCCTAGAAATGCCGAGTTGTTGGCTACTTGCCTTTGCCGGGGATCATCACCTTGGGCGGCCGACATCTGCTGAATGATGCCTTTGCGTGATTGGACGCCATGATTCTGCTGCAGTTGACCAGCTTTCAGACGGTTGCCGTCGTCGTCATCATGCTCACCGGCATCTCTCACACCTCTCCCCGCGACCACATTCAATTATAGGCAACAATCCGGATTAGGCAGTGCGGGGTGAATTTTATGTCTGGGGGTAACTAGACACGCAGTTATGCAGCAGGCGCTGAACCTAATCGGGTCAGGTATTTACATGTACAATTTTCGATGTAAAAGCACATGTAGAATTTCTTATAGCAACTCATACAAGGCTAGGCTAAAGAGTAGCTGTAATTAAAATTCAAGGCTTGCCGCGTCAATTATATAAAGTATATGGCGGATTAGTATTGACGCCGAGAATTCCCCCCGAGATTGCCGAGAAACTCTCACTTACAGATAAGTTGCCTATTCGTGTTGCATAAAGCCAAAGTAGAACCGGATTTTTTCATGTTCATTTCGGCAGATAAATGACAGAGCACGGAGTACTCCGATCTAGTCATATAACCCGCTTCACTCTGCCGTTCTGCTTACTTGCCGGGCGCAACTGACGCATGAAAGCAAAGCCCCCTGCAAGGCCGTTTACATACATGACTGCCGAAGACATGGATGGATCAAGATTTCCGGTTTCAGGTTTGATGACACATATTGGATTCATGTACAGTGAGTGAAATAAGGCTGTCAAAGCTGACGCGTCGGCACAACGCGGCCAATATTCGCACTGCCGAATTCATCAACTCCGGAGCCTGGGGTGAATGATGCATCGTTTGATGGAGAATGCTGAAACTAAGTTTCTTCAAACTGATATCGACACCATCAGTTCAACCCCACCTTGAAAGCAAAGGACCAGTCAAGTTACGTGGCAGATCTTTCTATGCCGACGATTTGTCAACGACCAGGACTCTCATTGCAACCCTCGGCCAAGAAAGTGAGGCTGCGTGCGTTAAACCTTTGTGAACGGCAACGAGGCTTGACCTCGGCAGGGCATCACAAAGTCGGGGTGCGGCATTTATCTTCTTCAGAACAGTGCTGGAGTAATGTAGATATATCCAACAGAGTCGGGCAACCTTCATCTCTTTCCAAGCAATTCTCCAAATATACTCCCCGCGTATCCAGCACCCCTAGACACCATGTCTTATACCATCCTCCATGACACCGGCTTAGCTGCCGTTGCCGATCGCGACAAAGTCACCATCTACGTCCAACTTTCCAATGGCTCGTTGGGCGAGGCAACTTCCTCTCCCAACGGAAACTGGAACGTATCCCCGATCCAGATCCCGAACGCACCGGCTCCAAAGCTCTACACGCCGCTAGTAGTTCTCATTGGCAAGAACCAACAGAGAGTGCGTTGATAAATCCCCTACCCAGCCCCCTATTCAAACCCCCTCTTTTGCATCGTACTCATCTTGCCCTCGCATCCTAGCACCTCTTCTACATCGAAGGCAACAACTACCTCAGCGAGGCCGTCTACAAGGACAAAGACAGCGGGTGGTCTATCGGCACCCTAAGGACCCTGGGAATCATCCCGGCCCAATACTCCAAGATTGCTGCCGCAAAGCCCTTCGAGGGCAATGACCAGATCTGCGTCTTCTACCAGGTTCCGAACATGAGCGGCGCTATCCGCCAGGTCACATGGAACGGAACCTGGTGGACACAGGACACTCGCGACCTGGGCGACGATGTCCTCACGGGCACTGGCCTCGCCGCTGTCGGCGCCGAACTAGGGACCAACATCTCCAATACCAAAACCGAGAACCCGCCCGTGGTTTTCTTCCAGCAGAGCAACTTGGATCTGGCGTGGCTGCAGGATACCTGTACGTGACTGCCTACCTTGTTGAAGAGATGGTCGTTTCGAACGCTGATATAGAGAATGAATAGCAACTCGTAAAATCAACGACGTGGACCCGACAGCCTCGCCGCATACCCCTCTGGCTGCTACCGGCCCGCGAAATGAGAACCTAGACATTGGTTCGGATCTGTTCTACACCTCTGACCAAAATGTAATTCAGTCCCTTGCTGTTGACGAGCTTGGTAAGAAATATGGCATTGATGAAGTCACTGCCACCACTCCCAAGGGGAATCTTGCTGCCGTTGTGGCCAAGAAACGCGTCGGAACTAGGAACGTTGACCAGGTTATTGTCATCTATCAGGGCCCTGGGACTGAACCACAGAGTCAGTCTGTTCCTGATGGTTCCACTAAACGCGATACTGGGGCTTGTCTTTATCAGACTAGTTATATTGTGACGAAGGCGGATGAGGGGGGAAAGCTGGCGAGGTCCGAGTTTGAGCATGCGCTGTTGAGGTTTGAGTAGTGAGGCTGAAAGGTCTGTCCACTTAATAGTCTGCCTTGACATGGTCGCAGTTCCATATGGCATGAACCTTGACAAATTTATGACACATTCAGCACTTGAATATAAAGCTGGCCTGATTGGTGAGTGTGAGATATTGAATGATAGTTGAAAGTAGCAGACGTAGAGAATCCGAGGTCCAACTGTCAGATCGTCGCTATTGAAATCTTTGGGCTTGCCTTTGTTATTGCTTTTATAGGTCTAGGTAGACAATAAAAGGTAACTGCTTGTTGAATGAAACCCCTGCAAATCTTTTTTTCACCACGTAACCAAATTGATACTTTGTACACAATAGTAGAGTATGTTGTAATAACGCTAATAAGTTGTAATTGTATCAAGTTATTTTAAATACTCACTACCCAGTAGAGTAAACAAGACCCTGATGCCAACGAAATGTTGACCTGGGGGTAGGCAAAGCGGTTTGGGGAGGGCAAACATTGAAGTCTTATTAGTGCTGTCATGTATCCCCTGCCGGGGGCCGCCTGCTTTTAATGTTAATACGATATGTGCCTATTTCACCAGGCTCACGATGTTGCACGTGAATGGTGTTGAACTACCAAAAGTGGAGGCCACGTACAAACGGAGACTTATCATGACGTATGTATGTATTTTTGCCGTAAAACGAAATGACGCAAGTCACTTTTTTATTGACTAGCTACTTATCAAACAGTATTTCATCTTGGACTAATTAGATGCCTGGGGCGGCCTCATAAAGCGGAAATCCTTAGCCTGCTCCGGTTACCTGCCAACATGCCGTTTCCACTCTACCTCAGCGAACAGTTGAATACCAGACCGGACGCTTTGCCTATCTAGGTACCTACTTAAGTTAACTACCAGACTGGGTACCTGGAAAATAGAGCCATGAAGCTGCTAGCTCCTCGTCACGTGATGAAGCTGAGCATCACCAACCACCTCCTTTTTAGCCCGTGACGGTGTATCACCAAGGTGGAGTCTAGGCACAAGTCACGGAACATGAAAAAGGCGGACTAAACCATTTTCGTTACCCTTGACTGGATGGCAGTCACTCGTTTCCGTTTGCGCTGCGTCAAGCATGGATGCGACTAATCCTGGAAGGACCAGCAGCTCGGGGCTGAAGAGGGATCATCGCGTGGCCGGCAACCCCCGGCAAGGGCCAAATGCCTGGCCAGCTGCTGACAGCCAAGATGGCTAGCGAAGAAACAAGATGCAAAATTCAAGGTTCGATTATTGACAGCGCTATTGGCATTGTTGCCGTTTAGCTTAGTCGCAGCCTCATGCCGGACCCAGTAAGCTTCTTTCGGAGGCGAGTCAGCGCTATTCCCGAGTAAAGGCGAGCCAAGAACAATGTTATCGGCAAAACCGGCAAGAAAACGTGCTGGATTGGTTCCAGAACGCCACTCGGGATGATTGGAGTCAAGATCCATGTACGGAGTACAGCTCCCGCAATCAGATTACGGCGCGGCATCCTTGCGTCACCATCTTATCAGATCCTCTTTTGACGCCGGTGCCTCGACGGGCCAATCGCGTGACCACGACGGGCCGACTAACGAGTCACTAATGGCTGTGGAGATGGAGAGAAATTCTCTGCAGTCCTCCGGATGAGGTTGCACGCGCGGTGGGCTGGCAGCAGAGCCCGGCCGCTGCGAGTATTTACTCGCCCGGGGCCCTCGCAACCACGCCGTCCTGGGCGCGGCAGCGAGAACCATTCTGCGAGACAGGTTGAGTGTTTCCGCTGCCAAGATGCACACGACCAAGAACGCCGACCCCCGGACGCCCGGCCAGGCAGGGCTGTTTCCACCGGCGGACGCTGCCGAGGAGTTCAAGTCGAAGCCCGGCCACGGCCACGGCCAGGAGGCGTTTCCCAGCGACGCCGACAATGCCAGCCTCGAGGAGAAGAACGAGAGGGAAGTCCAGCAGCATCCGCAGGAGGTCACGGCCAGCGCCGAGCTCGGTGTCCAAAAGGCCGAGGCCGCCGCCCTCGTCTGGACCAAGAAGACGGTCTACTGCACCTATGCGTGGTAAGCAGCCCCCCTTGGACGTTTTGGTCCGTCATCACCCGACTCACGCGGTCCCCCGTGCGCAGGATCTGGCTCTGCTTCTTCATGCTGGCTTTCCAGCAGGCCATTCTCTTCAACGTCACGGCGACGGCGTATGCCGACTTCGCGTCGGCGCCGGCCATCGCCACGGCCTCGATCCTGTCCAACATCATCGGCGGGGTCTTGAAGCTGCCCATCGCCAAGACGCTCAACATCTGGGGCCGTGCCGAGGGCTACCTGGTCTTCTTCGGCGTCTACCTGCTTGGCATGGTCATCCTGGCGTCCAGCGGCGGGCCCGACAGCTACGCCGCCGGCTACGTCTTCTACTGGATCGGCTACGACGCCATCTACCTCATCCTGGACATCTTCGTCGCCGACACGTCGGGCCTGCAGAACCGCGCCTTTGCCTTCTCCTTTGTGTCGACGCCCTTCATCTGCACCGCCTTCACCGGCCCGCTGGCCGCCCAGGCCTTCCTGAGGCACAGCACCTGGCGCTGGGCCATTGGGTGCTTCGCCATCATCCAGCCCTTCGTCTTCGTGCCCCTGGCCGTCGTCTTCAAGTTCTACCAGAAAAAGGCCGAGCGCCTGGGCATCTACAAGCACCAGCCGAGCGGCCGCACCGCGCTCCAGTCCGTCCTCCACTATGTCCACGAGTTCGACGTCGTCGGCGCCGTCATCCTCATGGCCGCCTTTGTGCTCTTCCTGCTGCCCTTCAGCCTCGTCAGCTACGGCCGCGCCACCTACGCCAGCGCCACCTTCATCGCCATGGTCGTCGCCGGCATCGTGCTGTTCCCCGTCTTCGCCGCCTGGGAGAAGTGGTTCGCCCGCACGCACTTTATCCGGTGGGAGCTCTTCAGGCAGAGGACCGTCCTGGGCGCCTGCTGCATGGCCGCCCTGTCCTTCTTCAGCTTCTACTCGTGGGACCTCAACTTTTACAGCTTCGTCCTCGTCGTGTACAACCTCAGCTACAGCGACACCGGCTACATGACGCAGATTTACAATGTCGGCTCCTGCTTCTGGGGCGTCGTCTTTGGCCTCTGGGTCAAGTACACCAAGCACTTCAAGTGGACCGTCCTCGGCTTCGGCCTGCCGCTCATGATTCTCGGCGCCGGTCTGATGATTCATTTCCGCGGCCAGGACGCGGACATTGGCTACATCGTCATGTGCCAGATCTTCATCGCGTTTGGCGGCGGCACCATTGTCATTGGCAACAGCATGGCCGTCATGGCCGCCAGCGACCGCGACGGCGTCCCCATGATGCTCGCCGTGCTCAACCTGTTCGCCAGCATTGGTGGCGCCATTGGCGACGCCGTCTCCGTCGCCATCTACTCGAGCACCTTCCCGGAAGCCCTTCGCTCCAGGATTCCCCAAGACATGGCTGACCAGGTGGACAAGATCTACCTCGGCGGCTATCTCGCCCAGGTTACGTACCCTGTGGGCTCGCCTACTCGAGATGCCATCAACTACGCCTGGGGGCAAAGCCAGCGGTATGGCTCCATTGCTGCTACCGCCATTCTGACACTGGGCATTCCTGCTATTGCAATTTGGAAGAACTACCGGGTGGATAAGAAGCAGAACAAGGGTACTGTTATTTAAGCAGCTCATGCGTGGCGTATTTCGCTTGGCGGTGCGTTGATAGTTGGGATTTGACGACTGCGTGAGTAGGCGGCGCGGTTCAATTGGGTCAGAGCACAGGAATTGAAAGAGTTTAGCAAGACTTGTAGAAATGCTAGAAAGTCACAACAAAGCCTGCCGAATGCACTAGTACCCAGCGATGTAACCAGCCAGCAATACTCTCCAGGCCTAAACAAAGCCACCAGACTGTTCTGTAGTCTTCTTCTCATTAGCTCTTTGTCGAGCCGTCGCCTCCAGTTGTAGGTTTCCTAGCACTAATGGCAACATATCTCCAGTACTTTTGCGCATAATATCCACGCGCGCCACCAATCGCATTCACAAAGTACTTTTCAAGACAAAACAACATAATAAAGTAGTAAGGAATTGCCAATAAAAGCCAAAACAATCAAAGCATTAGGCGTACGTTCTCCAAATAGTCGTGCTCCTTGACATCTATAAAACCAGCTTCCTCAAGTATCTGCTTATAATAGCCTCGCTTAGCGCGCTGCCACGTAGGCATGGCGCTATACTTACTCACCTCCCTCATAAGCTTAGCCAGCGTCTTCCCAATGACCTTATTGGACTCATAGTCATGGTCATATTCATGCATGGCGATATGCCCACCAGGTCAGAGGATACAATAGAAGCCCTTAATAGCCTCAAGCGGATCCATCACATAGACCAGGGTTTCTATCGTATAGACCCCGTCATGGCTCTCCAAGAGTAATATCTCAAGGTGGTGGTAATCTATCTTCTAGACAGATATAAGAGAACAAAGGGCGCCGGATTAGGCGATATTACGCTTCACCTTAGTAAGGTGGTGATCTAGGACATTAATGGCAGTTACGCGCAAGCCCTGACTTGCCATGTACAGAGCAACATATCCAACTCCACAGCCGGCGTCTAAGACTTACAAGCCCGGCGCCAAGGCAAGGAGTTTGTGTATCTTTTCCTCCATCCGTCGCAAGGGGCCGCCAAGCAGAAATACCTAGTGCGTGTCCTTTTCCCAGTATCCAAAGTGGCGGGTGTTGCCTAGGAGGAGCCGGTAGCCGATTTATGACTCGAACGACTTGTAGAGACTCTGAAGGGCGGGATTGTCGTTTATCACTGGCTCTGACTCGGCTGCCGGCGTCTTTGAAGACATGTTGAAAAGTAGAAAATGCAGACTTTAAAAAGTTGGATGCTGGAGAGGGCAAAGTGTGGCCGAGAGCAGGGGCTTGCCTGGGCTAGGAAGCTTGGTGATGATAGACGAGGAGGAGGAGAGGACTGAAATGGGACTTGGACGCGGTAGAAAGGCATGACGGCACACTTTGGGGTTTTGAATGCCAACAGTTCTTTGTTTGGGGCGTTGCCCGGACCGTGCTCTGCATGTGAACGAGAGTGTAGACCAAGAACTGACCATTGCTCACCTACCTAGGTACGTGACCCGACCCGGCCTGTGTAACATTGAATTGGCCTGATGATTGCTCTTGTTGACTCTTTTCGGTGTTCCTAGTGGAGTTGGGAGTGGACTTTAATTTCCCTCGGCTTTCAATGTTACCTACATGCATACGGTTAACCCATCGTAGTGTATAGGATATTGACAGTTAATTACGAGAAAGTAATGGTCAGGTTAGGTAGGCGAGCAATGGTCGGGTGGTATGCATTCTCGGCGCGGTTGCAGTGACTGAGGTTAAATACGGCAATTATTGAATCTATAGTAAAATCTCATCAAGTCATTATCCACTTGCCAAACTCTGGCGGTCTATGTTCCAACATTTCGACCGCGAATGCGAGGCGGACCCAACTCCCTTCGTATCTCTTCCAACTGTTCCAAGCCAGTCTGTGCCTTGGACTTTTTAGACGTTCTCTTTCCAGGTTTCGTGTAACTCCCGAGGAAGTCGTCCAGAATTCCGTCAAAGTCTCTTCTCGTAGGTCCAACGACGCTAGATGTTGATGCCTGGGAAATAGAAGCCATGTCGTCCTCTGGGTCTTCCAGATACGATTCCTCAATCTTGTCGAACCTGGCGTCCAGAAGAGACATTTGCTCTGTGCGCACAAGCGATGACGATGTCATGGAGTAGTTGGACGCGTCGGTCAAAGCACCCTTTCTCTTCTTCTTTCGACCGCCATTTGTGGTGGTCGTCCAAGTGGACTGGAGTTCGGAGTGGGACGGCGCAGCGCGAGGCTTGCCAGACTTTTGTTCCTTTTTGAATTGCTTAAAGTCCTCCATCCAGTCTTGTGACGGCCCGACCTCGGGGTGCTCTGGCACTGCAACGAGCTCTGGTATTACTTCCTTGTACTCCTTTGTGGGCTTGGCGGTATCATCCGACTCCCAGCCATCTTCATCCTCGTCGAAAAAGTCGGCGTCATCAAATTCACCATCTTTGATCTCCTGTCCGTCTTTTGTGAGGTTTTTGAAAATATCGTCGTCCTCGTCGTCTACGTAAGCCTCGTCATCCAAGGCCTCGAGAACCTCCCTTAATCTAGGGTCCATGTCCGGCTGAAATCCGCGAATCGAATCAGGGACATCTTGTTGGGCCTGGTAGGTGACCCGGGTGAGGTTCTTTGAGGGCAGCATTTCATCCTCAAATAAGTCGCCCGACTTTTGCTCCAGATCCATTTTCTTCAGCGCATCTTCTAATGATTCCTTTTGTTTCCCCTTACTCTTGGTATTCGCCTCGATGAAAACAACCTCCCCACTGGACGCCGAGTTGAGATCGCGCAAATGCTGCATATAATCGTATTCGGTATCATCGAAGTAGACTCCGTAGCTAGCAGCCTCGCCTTCGTTGGCTCGAATTGCGGCGGCATCAGAGCCAAATTCTGACGCCAAATCGTCGAGATGTTTCACTTTTGAGGAGCCAGGCTTTGGCTGGGTCGGGTTCAACACCATGGCCGGGGCCGTCGAGTCGTGGATGAGAGGGTCATTTTGCGGTCGATGGACCAGCGTAAAATGCTGGGCCGTCTTCTTGTCGCTATATTCACGGATGAAAAGTTAGAATCGTTCTTCGTATATTACTGTAGTGTAAGGGAGTTTAACGCACATCCACTTTCCTCGAGGCATCTTAGCGATATGCTCCTTTGTTTTTTTTTTGATGGGATCAAACTCTGACGGCTATAGAGGTGGTGGAATGGGGTTCCATAGATTTTGGGGCCGCAGTCACAAAAATTTTGAACTGTTGTTTTGTACCGTGTGCGATCCGATAACACTGTATGTGAGTGACATTTTCGCGGGTAGCTGCACAGTGCCAGATTAAAGGCCGGCCCTATCGCGGAAAATTTGCCCCTCCATTCGTGACGCATTAATCAGCCAGCATTGCGGGCAGTGAAGAAAGAAAGTCTGACACCCAAAGCTGATCTGCATCCTTCACACCAAATATCCTTGGTGAGCAGATCCTTCCCCTCAAGTTGGACTTGTTTCTCAAGCGGGAAGACAATACCATCAAAAGAAACACATCGCATTTTGATTCCACCTCGGCAGAGCCGCGACCGTCAACATGGTTCTGGCAAAATCGAAGAAGAGCGTGGGGCTTGGCAATACGTTGATGAATGATCGTTTCGGCAAAGGCAAGGGAAGCGACAGAAAGAAGCAGTCTTCCATCACTAGAACTAATCACGCCACCGGTGAACAGTATCTTGTCAACGAGAAGCAAGATGCCTCCTGGGTCAAGATGCGCTCCGTCACGGAGCAGGGCGCTCTGGATGAATTTTTGGCAACGGCGGAGCTGGCGGGAACTGATTTTACTGCCGAGAAGATGAACAATGTGAAAATTATTCATACCGACCAGAAGAACCCGTATCTCCTCTCTGCCAACGAAGAGCGCACTGTACTTGGCAAGCACAAGATGCACAGAGGTCGTCTGACCGTCCCCAGAAGACCACACTGGGATTCCACCACCACACCGCAGGAACTGGATGCCAGAGAAAGAGACGCCTTTTTAAGCTGGAGGAGGGGGCTTGCAGAGCTGGAAGAGAACAATGATTTGCTCATGACGCCCTTTGAGCGAAATTTGGAAGTCTGGCGCCAATTGTGGCGAGTTATTGAGCGATCCGACCTCATTGTGCAGATTGTGGATGCTAGAAATCCGTTGCTCTTCCGCTCTGAAGATCTCGAGATCTATGTCAAGGATGTTGATCCGAAGAAGGAGAATCTGCTTTTAATCAACAAGGCAGATATGATGACTCTGGCTCAAAGAAGAGCGTGGGCTAAACACCTGAAGAAAGCTGGCATCGCCTACAAGTTCTTTTCAGCTCAGTTGGCGAAGGAGCTGAATGAAGCAAGGGACGAAGATGGTGGATCAGAGGACGAGGTGGAAAAGCCATCCTCCCACAGTGCCGGCAAACAGCCCGCAACGGGCGAGGACTCGTCGGAAGAGGAAAGCGAGGATGATGGCGGTGCTCCAACTGCAGTTGATGAAGATGAGGACACCCAGATTCTCACCGTTGAAGAGTTAGAGGACATATTTCTCCAACATTCTCCCAAAGATGCAGGTGGGTTGCCAAGTGCTTCATGGCCATTGAAGAAACAAACTAATCATGACTAGCATCGGATCACAAATTACAAGTAGGATTGGTTGGATACCCCAACGTCGGAAAATCATCCACCATCAACGCTTTAATAGGCGCCAAGAAGGTTTCAGTCTCATCAACACCCGGAAAGACCAAGCACTTCCAGACGATCCACTTGAGCGAGAATGTCATTCTCTGCGATTGCCCCGGTCTCGTGTTTCCCAACTTTGCCTTTACCAAAGCTGATCTTGTCTGCAATGGCGTGTTGCCCATCGATCAAATGAGAGAGTACACCGGCCCCGTAGGGTTGGTCACTCAGCGAATCCCACAGAGATTCCTCGAGGCCATCTATGGCATTCAGATCAAGACACGCCCCCTCGAGGAGGGTGGCAGTGGTATCCCGACTGGAGAAGAACTGCTGCGCGCGTATGCAAGGGCCAGAGGCTTCCAAACTCAAGGCCTAGGTCAGCCCGACGAGGCCAGAGCATCTCGCTACGTCCTGAAGGACTACGTCAACGGCAAGCTGCTCTTTGTGCACCCACCGCCAGGAATCGAGGACGCCAAGGCCTTCAATCGAGAGCTGTACAGCGAATTCAACCTCCCTGAGAAGCGGCGCGCCGCGCTCGCTGCTGCGACCGAGGCCATGTCGCTGAAGGACGACGACAGCGTCACAGTTGACTCTGACATGATATCCATCCCCGCGGGCCCAAAGACGGAGAAGCTCGACGCCCGCTTCTTCGGTCCTGACAAGTCCCAGGGCCACATCGCCATGCCTTTCAACCACAAATACACCGAGCAGGGCCAGGCTGCTGGCAGAATGCTTACTGGAAGAAAGGCCCGCACCGTCGTTGCGTTGGAGAACGGGATAGACCCGAAGGACGTGCAACTATTGAGCAGCAAGAAGCACTTCAAGGGCGGGGCTAAGAATGGCAAAAGCAAGAAGCACAGATACATGAACACGGATGACTAAATAGCAACTTGAGTATTTAAATTAAGCAAAAGTATCGACAAAAAAAAAGTAAAGGTATTGTGGCTGCCCAATCGGCCTTTTCAACTCCGACGCTATATAAATGATGTCTCCCACACAAAGTATTTTACTTGTCCCATATATTCCTAGCCTGATGGTATTCCGGCACCAAACCCCCAGCGCATGATATTTACACCAAACCCCACCGATGAAGGTCAGGTCCTGTCCTTTCAACACTCTTCCTCATCCATCCCTTTTTTCCGCCGCACGGCAAAGGTAGCGCTCCGCGGGAAGAACAGCGGCGGCACCGAATGCGTATGCGTCAGGAGCAGCACCACGAACCACACGAGGCAAATCGTCGGCAGCAGCCACGGGCTAAAGAGGTACTTGTCCAGCGTGACTTCGTCCACCTGGACGGCGGTGACGAGCGCCAGGCCCAACGCCAGCAGGAAGTAGACGATGGCGCGTACGACGGGCCATGGTTTCCAGGGGGTGAGGCGCGAAACGATCGTGAGGAGGGTCATGAAGGCGAGGCACGCCCCGGACGCGACGTACCCGTAGGTAAACTGTTCCTCGTTAGTATTTTACGGTACGCGCAACGGCCGTGGGCGAATGGATGTAGAGAAGACAGGGCCGCACTTACCACGAGCTGAAACCGGTCCCAGGTGTCGTTGTTGATGGTCGTTGCGAAGCCGCCTCCCATGGTGTCAACGGTGACATTCTTATTCTTGTCCTGGTCGATAAACTCCTGCGTGAGATCGACGTCAAACGTGGCAAACAGGCTGTTCTCCATGGTGACGGCGAGGGTTGTGAGGACGTTGAAGACAAACTCGGTCGTGTTGGCCGGGGGCAGGTCGGCCTCGGCTTTGGTGGCAGAGAACCTGGCCAGCTGGGGCCAGTAGTCGTCCGGGATGGCGGTGATGTTTTCGAGGGTGGTGTTGATGGTCTCGATGAGGTCCTGCCACTTGGGGTTGTACTCGGCGAAGAACTTGCTCACCTCGGCCGAGATGTTGGCGTGGACAGCGGCGCTGGTGGCGCGGGAGAGGGCGTCCACGTCGGCGGTGATCCAGTCGGCGCGGAAGTTGTTGAGGACGTCGACGATCTTGGCCCACAGGATGAACTGGGTGAAGCCCTGCATGAAGAGGACCATGGCCAGGTGGAAGGGGAAGTGGAGGACGGCCCAGGTCTGCTGCCGCCAGCCGGGGAGGTGCTGCGACTTCATCCAGTCGAAGTAGACGAGGAAGACGAAGTAGGTTGTCGAGGCGCCGGCGGTGACGATGCCAATGATGAGGGGGTCTAGACTTGCCTGTTAGCATGTTGCAGAGCTCACGGCGGGGAGAAGACCGTACTCCACGCCTCGGGCGACTTGACTATCGTCACGACCTTTTCGGCCAAGACTACGATGCCGTCGCCGAGGATGATGATGGTCAGGAGGCTCATGCGGCCCATGAGATGGGTCTTTGTGAAGCTCAGGACGTCGTGGTACAGCCCGAGGCCAAAGGAGAAGAGGGCCTCGGCGGCGCAGATAATGTACCATGTGATGAAGACGTGGCTGTGGTGGTGCTGGAGGTGGAACGAGATGCCGAGATAGATGAGGGCCGCGAGCAAGTGCACGGCGATTTGGGCGTAGAATGCCGATCGGACCTTTTTGAACTTGCGGACGTGCCACAATATGCTGCTGTACTCTGCAGCCAGGCAGAGGCGGGAGATCATCAATATGAGTGCTGTGGGAAGACGGATTAGTCCTTTTTTTTCTTTCCTTTGGCGCGGGAAGAAGGCATACACATGGCTTGCAAGGTGCCCTGGTGGTTATTTTCCTCGGGTCTAAAGTTGGGCGCGACGACTGCGAAGCCGACCATGACGCCGAGATGGACGGCTCGTGCGACTCGTTCTATGAGCGAGTCAGTATGTGATCCCTCTTCAAGGACACCGGTTGGCCTGGTCGTGCGCATACCAAAAATGCTGTCCGTCACAAAGCGAACGTCGTAAAGCGCCACGGCGAGCCAAGTAAACCACAGCACCCTACCAAACGGTCAGCAAAGACAAAAGAGGTCGTCGTTGGCTGGGGGAACGGACGTGAAATAGCCAATGTAGCCGGCAATTCTGGTGCTGCTGGTGACGGACTGGTTCTTGGAAAAGACGGTGTAGCTGGCGGCAAAGAAGAGGTCGAAAAAGATCTCGAGCATGTTTGCTTGCTCATGCTACATCCGTCGACGAGGTCAGCATGTTTCTGTTCTTGTGGCCCCCGTGATGCCGGGAGCTGTGAGAAAGACGCAGCACGAACCCTTTGAAACTCTGGAGCATCGTCTCTGTACCGGTCACCGAAGGTGCTCAAATTTGGCTCGTCGGCGAGTTTGTCGTCGCTCTTGACCAGCGGGCTCTTGATGAGCTTGAGCTTCTGCTGGGGAGCAGCGGCGTCATGGCCGTGCGTGGCAGCCATTTGCGAGATGGCCCTCAGGAAGCTCAACATGGTGGCTTCAGATGCAATATCCCCATGAGATTTGCAAGTCGATAGACAAAGTGCCGTTCCCAAGGTTTTTCAATATTGTCTCTTGGAAGCGTTAAGGGGCGCCGATACCCGACTGCATTATTCAAGCGGCCGGCAGTTGCAGGCCTCCATTGACTCTGTGGTGCTGGACGGTAGGGCTGATGGGGTAACAGTGGCTCTTTGACCCATTCCATCTTCAAGGATGCTGTCGTACCAGGGGGGTTCATGTTGAGTTTAAAGTCTTGGACTGCGGTCTGTCAATGCAACGGGTATGAACCCACAGGGTTCCAGGGTCACGAGGCGGGAGACGCCGTCAACGAGCAGGAACAGGACTGGAAGTTTGTTCGCATCACGACGGCTTGAAGCAATGCAGTCGTAGGACCTGTTCCGAGGGGACATGGGGAATCCTCGACTTCAATGTTCCTACATTCATCATCAGCCACACCATCTCCCGCCATCGGCGAGGACAGACGAACCATGATTATCAGATGTGCATACCACGGTCGTGTCAAAAAGCTTGCCATGACTAGTTCAGCCTCAAAACTTTGCTCGATGGTTACATCTGTCTCCACCCGACAGGGCATCGGCACTCGGTCGTCTCGCAAGCGAAGCGTCATTCCCCAGTCTTCATCAACGGCGGTTCCGCCAATGAGACTCTGTCCCCGGGGTCGGGACTTCTGGAAGGGATGAAAAAGTCGTCAGATTTCCATCGCCAGCCCAACAGTCCGAAACCCACCTAACCCACCCTCGAAAGAAAATATACCGAGGTAGTAATTGGCAAAATTTCTGGACAGGGAATATCCCAGTAGCTTACGCGGCAGCAAAAATGCTTCTTTTTTCTCAATTCCTCTTGATTGGTTTTCCCTGGTTTTGTCGTCTGCATCGTCTTCAAAACCAACGCCACGCCGTTGTTGAAAACGGTTGCAGGAGGGAAATGCCTCTTGATTATGCAATACCTCGCATGTGGTCACGTGATCAGTGTCGTGCCTCGCTGATTGACCACGTGCGTCGATCGTCTGCATCTGGGACTACCCTGAATCCGAGATGGCGATTCTCATTTACTAGAATGGGCACTCTATTAGCACATGTAAACGATGACGACGGTTCAGCCATCTTCTCCTTTCGCCAAAACCCACATCATCAGCTTCTCTCATAGCGAACCTTTATCTGTTCATGTGTTGCGAGGAATATGGATGTTCTCTTTCCTACTCTCTTTGCCATATAATGACCGCCTGCATGTTTATATCCTACCGATACCAGTTTAGCGGCGTGATTACTCGCATGTTATTATCATTCAGTATCTTTTCTTTTTCAGAGCCCTACTGTCTGTTTCTGCAAGTTCTAAACTCCCTAATTGGCAGTGCTTTGGCATTCAATCTGTACTAGCCAACATTTGAAGTCTTACAGAATGAATACTAGTTGAATTACGCATTGCTTCAGAACGATAAGACGCAGCTGCCATTTTCATCTTGGCGTGATAGCTTTCCATTAATAGCATAAGGCAACGTAAACTCCACATTACATTCTCACTCATCCAATTATCGCTCTACCCAACTTAAACCGAACCCTGGCAACTCGGCGCCTCCGTTTATGGCACAGCCACGTCGGAACCATGACAGGTTGCCGGAAATGCCATGCCGCGTTGCGGACCACTTGGCAAAGCAATCTCAAGGTCACCATCGACGCGCCTGTCCAGTTGTTTCCGAGGAGCGAAATTAACATTTACCCCCGCTAATAACATGTCCAAGATGACGGTGACTTTTACGACTTTTGCGGCCAGATAAGCTCGCCGTCTTTGCCCCTGCATTGGCCGCCCTCCGGGTCCCGGAAGCGCCCGCAAATTCCACAAAAAACACGCCCTATGTCAAGCGGGGATGGGCTGGAATAATGCGAAAGAGAGACGTGTGGTGCTACAAGGGCGCGAGCAGGGTCGAGTACAACTTGGATAAAGCAGTTTTTCACAAGGAGAGTAAGAGATTCCCCCAGAAGCTAACCGAGCTATTAAGTCTTGAAGAAGTGCCGTTCCCTTGGAGTTATAAATAATGGAAATTGTACCAAGTTTGCTTGTCGTATTAATAGAGGCAGTTTTATCCGACAATAGCTTCTCACACGAAATTCGGAAGAGACGAACCAAAGTTCTGCATAAAATTACAAATTACGCAAAAGCTCAATGAAATACCTAACTAATGTAGTGGTTGTACTATTCCTTGACCCACGCACTCTCAGCCTCGGGATGGTTCTACTCCTTGAATAACCTGTATCTTCAGGGCCCCGTTGAAGCGGCTTGTGTAGCAGCCAGCGATTCGGATACAGCGTTCTGCGAGCCCTTTTCCGTCGACAAAGAGGTTAGGTAAACCCGGCTAGCTCACTTAGGATGCCGTGAATTCGAACTCGGCCACTTCGCCTATAGGCGAGTCATCCCAGTACGGGCCATCCTGGTAAAAGTTGACTTGAACCTTGTACCTCCCGGGCATCAGCCTCTCCTCGGAAACCGCGTTGAATGACAAGCGCCTGGTCATTCCTGAAGTAAGCGTCCAAACGCGCGGCTTGGAGTCGATCCTCTTCAAAGTGACTCTGGCCGTCACGTCGGCAGGATACTGAACCTTCTCGTAGTACCAGGCCGATCCCCATAAATACTGGGACCTTTCTCGAAACACGCTCAAGCTAAAGACATCTGTGTGCGTCGGAAGGCAAAATCGGAGCTTGGACCATGTCCACTCGCCTTTGCCGTACCATTCATACCACCCGCTGCAGTCATATGTCGTTGGGTCCTTGGTGTCTGGGTCCTTTTCCGATACCAGGCGATTAAACGCCTTGATCTCCACCGGGGAAGACTGCTTGGTCTAAGTATTCGTTAGCGCTGATGATAAATTCGACGACAGATTTACTCACCAAGTATGGCTTCCATTTTTGGTAATACTGGTCGGATAGCCAGAAAAGGTGTTGGACTGTTTCTAAAGCATTGTCTGGGCTTAAAGCAGTATCCCGAATCTAGCATCTTGTATTAGTATTGATATGGACGTTGATTCACTGGAGGCATACCCAGCTCTTTTGGGCATCGATCAATTTGATCTCGTGCTGCTGGATCTCACGGTCCTCTGTTTGACTCAAAGCATCGCCTAGAATAAAGGTCAATATTTCCATCGCGTCAACAGAAGCGATGGGGGGTCTTACGCAGCTGGAGAGTCTTCCGCAATTCCGTATGCTTCACCATCTCTCCCAGGAGATGGTAGGCTACAGCGCCCGCGGTAGTATAGTGCGCAATCGATTGGTTCTCGGGGAAGTTGCCAATATTCGGATACGTATCAAGAAGGGTTTGGTAGCTGTAGTCCTGAGCACAAGCCATTTCGAGAAACGTGTCTGCCCACGTCTTGGCGGTTGAAAATATTTGCTGGGCCGAGTTTTTCTCGTCCATGGATTCTGACCGGCCTTGTAGTTGTCTACCGATGTCGCCTTGATAAAAGATCTTGACTTTTACTTGTGCCTTTTTGCTTAGTTTCTCCATGTTGTTTTTCACCTCGGTGCTGAGTTGACCTGAAACCCCCCAGAAACTCAACGAGGCCTCGGCACTAGAAAAATGAGTTAGTAGCTGTTAAGTTTGTAGCCTTTGTATTCTCAAGACGTACGCGGCTTTTATTTCTTCCTTGTCAGATGCTTCGTCAAAGGTAAGCATTATTCGAGCCATTAATTTGCCTCCCATCTCAAAGCCTAGTATGCTATTAGCTTCAAGTCTTCATATATTTGAAGCAACTTACCTCTAATCCAGCGGTTGCCAAATCTTGTAGCAAATGGCCTGTCGCTGTCCTCATAAAGCTTAGTGTTGAATGTAAACTGCTCGTTGGAAACGCGACGCTGTTTGTTGATGCTTATTGACGCAATAAAGGTCAAGGAATTAGAAGAGAATGCCGACTCATCAAGATAGCTGCCTGATACGGAAGCCTCCTGACCGTAACCTGAAATACTTGTAGCCGCATTTACGCCAAGAGCCTTCAAGTACGACGTGTAGTCGGACACAAACTCAATGTGCGAGTGAATCTCGGCTTGGCATCCTTGCATGGTCATTTTCTTGTCAGAAATCATGTTTTTGGCCCCGTCTCTTTTTTCCTTGTCAGCTTCATCTTCCTGGGCCTCCTCGATGATCTTTGCAAGCTCCTCTAGCGTGGTTGGCGTAAAATATCCGTCCACGTCCACGCCAGGCATAACTGGACCTGGCTCTGTAAAATTAAACTTGCCAGTTGAGTTCTGGTTGCCAGGTCCTTCGGATCTCTTCTCCGTGTTTGTGGCTGCATCCGTAGAGGAGGTCATGACGGCTTTGTGAATTACACCTCGACCAAGAAAGGTATTATACCTACTGGCGTTAGCACGTTTAGGCCCAACATGTTACGGTTACTATACCCTTGTCCCACAGTCAATGCATCCTGATACGGCACCTTGAGTGTCAGTGACGGCCTGATAGAAAAGGCTAGCCAGAGAGCCTTTCCAACCAAAGGATAGGCTTTCATTGTGATGATCGATGGCACTGGCAGGAATTGCAAACATATACTCGATCAAGAACGGATATGGATAGCCTAGGCTGTTGCCTGTAAAGAGAGGGCTTGGTAAAGCTGGAGCTGTTTAACATTCTCAACACATGCGCCTCGGACAGGACTTATATATACGACGGCACAAGGGCAGGAGCAAGATCAAGTGCGACTTGAATGAGAATATCATTTACGAGACCTAGGCCCTTGCCGTGATTCCCAAGACGCCTGATGTCTCGCCGCAGCAGACATGCTTGGCGACTTTGACCCTGTCATTTTCCCCGTACATTATTGGCATTTAATCCATTATTTTGTCTTGTTGTATGTATACGGAAATGCCGTCAAGGCGCCTTCAAGCCAGATTCGTCCTTCTCCGCGCTCTTGGGCCCCTGAAGCTCTCCTTTTCTTGAATGGTTTTCTTCGTGTTGCGGACCAGTTTATTTGGAATCACAATCCAACCCCTGCAAGTTTCGCTATAGGCGACCTGGCGAGGAAGTTGACAAGAGCTATGCACAGGGGTTTTTATATCAATATTAATCCATTTTCATTCTAGTCCCAACACGAAATATTCACCGCCCACTTTTGTGGCACTACGGATTGACTCGGTAAAATTCCAGATATCCTCGGATTCCAAATAATAGGTGCTACCCCCAAAGACAGTGCTGACCTGCTGCCCTCGTAACGTGATGCTGCATTGATGCAGCATGTTCCCTATTTTTCTTAAAAGCCATAATTCTTACACATGCACCCCGTGTGGCGAACAGGCCGCAGTCCGACAGACCGGAACTGACCGTCTACCAGAAGTGGGTTGCTGTCTGCTTCCAGTATCCCTATTGGTTCCAAGGTGCTTAAACAACTACAAGGGGCATATTATCTCCACGTGGCTTGATAAGTCCCTGAACATACAATCTAACCCCTGTAAGATTGGCCATGAGTAACCTGATAGGGGACTATATAGAGGGGTCTCTCTGCTAATAAGAGGGCCTTTAATTTATAATAATAGCTATTAACTATAATTTGTAGGGGAGTAAATAATTTTTAATAGCTTATTAAGTACTTTTTTTACCTCGTGTACTTCTTATCTTATAAAATACTAAGGGGCTCGTGGGGGCCCCTCTGTCCCACATACTATAAGGAATAAAGCTAGTACTAAGCAGGTAATATATGATATAAAAAGTATAATATAATCTATTATACCTGATAAGATTATTAGTAGTATAATTATTATTAGCTAATTTTATAGTAAATAAAAGTAGCACTTGTCTATTCTTATCTGATTAGCTTATAACCCCTGGAATAGGTGCTCCACGAGCCCCTCGGTATTCTATGAGACAATAATCCCTTTTAATTAATTATAACCCCCCTTATCATGCCACACCTGGCTAAACTTTCAGGGTCTGAACATGTCAATATTTTCCCCCCCTTTTACGTCATGCAACTCGTCGTCATCGTTACGAGAGGCTTCTACATTGAAAAGAAAAAGCCCTTATTACCGAGCCCAGTATGTATTATACATGCACGCTCCGTTCTCTAAGCTTCCTCGGGTGTATTGTGACTTGCTTTCCGTTGTGGGCGCACGTGACTACGTAGTTGATTGACTGCGTCTCGCCAGATATTACTACATCTCCGGCGGTTTCAACACTATGAAACTTGCTCCACTACCTAAATGAATCCATGTGAGTGGGTAATCCAGAAGGGAAAAACGTGAACTGAATTTGTGAGCAGAACATAGCACTTAACATGATAGGAACTCACACTTTTACACGAGGGCGACGATCACGGGACCTAGAGCAGAAGTCTCTCACCGACTTCTTGTATTTATAGAGCTCTTTGGTCAACACGGCCTCGAGGGAAACCAAGAATCTTGAATACTAAAGACTCCTATTAAATGAATTGAGTTATTTCTCCAAGCCCTCACTGATCCCTTGTCACAGCTGGAAATGAGAGGCAGAGTAAGGTGCCACTATGAGCTGTTGTCTTCAGTTTAGCATGACGCCATCTGTCCTAGATTATTAGATACAGCCCGTATAAAATTTTATCCGTGAAATACGATGAGATAACCATTTCCCACTTAGTCCCCTCTGCTATCAGATTTTGAAAGGGTCCATGACAGCTCTGCTGAGAATTGTAGCCTTCGCAACACAATGGCCTTCACCCTAAGAAAGGCACCGGTCTTGTTTGAGTGACTTGCTACCATGTAGTGTCGGAAGGTTAGCTAAACTCTAAGTTTGTTCAGCCATCCGTATGGGGCACCATGGTCAAGCGACTTATAGTTAGCCATGTAATTTGGCTTTAAACACACGCACTAAAGACGGCGTGACACAAAGGGACCCAGACGGACTTATATAGAGGGTGTGCTCCGGCCTGCTACGTCTTGTCCACTACCATTTCTCTACATAAAACCAAACAAAGCCTGCTTCTTTCCCCATGGCTTCCAAATCTACAGTACCGTATTCTAGCCGAGCCGCTTCCCATCCGCACCCTGTCGCCAAGAAGCTTTTCCGAATTGCGGACAGCAAAAGGTCAAATTTAATTATATCGGCCGACTTTACCGACACGGAAAGTCTTCTGAAATGTGCGGATGGTAAGCACATGTGCGCGTGCTTCGTCATTGACTTGCTAACCCGGCCTTTACGAGCAGAGCTTGGACCCTACATCGCAGTCTTCAAGACCCATGTCGATATTATCCATGACTTCAGCGACAAGACTGTTTCCGGGTTAAAGGAACTTGCGGCCAAACATGACTTCCTCATCTTTGAAGACCGTAAATTCGTCGACATAGGGACGACTGTACAGAAGCAATACCACGGCGGCGCCCTCCGCATCTCCGAATGGGCAGATATTGTTAATGTAAGCCTTCTCGGGGGTGATGGCGTCGTGGATGCACTCGAGCAAGTGATTTCCGACGAGACATTCCCGTACCGTAACGAGAGAGGTCTGCTCTTGCTGGCCGAGATGACAACGGCCGGCAGCCTCGCTGTTGGTGAGTACACCCAGCGCTGCGTTGACGTTGCGAGAAGGACGGGCATGGGCGGCGCGGTGATTGGCTTCGTAGCCATGCGCAGCCTTGGTCCTGCAGGACTCGATCCTAGCTTGGCCGACGAAGATTTCGTCATCTTCACGACGGGCGTCAACGGCAGCAAATCGGGCAATGTATTGGGCCAGCGGTATCAAACGCCCGCGGCGGCTGTTGGGGGAGGTTCCGATTTTATCATTGCTGGGAGAGGCATTTATTCCGCGGAGGATCGTGTCCAGGCTGCAAAGCAATACCAGGAAGAGGGCTGGGCGGCCTATGAGGCTCGGATCTCGATGTAGGTGCTGGATTTGAGATGGATACTCCGTCAAGACTAGGACTTGACTCTGTCTTTATCACCTCTACTATGGAATGAATCGTATCACGCATGAAATGCAATGATTCCAAAACTATGGACTTATAGTAAGAACCTGGAATTCATGATGAACACCCGCCGCTGGAAGAAGTCGAGGAAGGTGTACGACAAGCTAATGAGGAAATACGCGTCTTTTTCCACCATGGTACTCGGGAATGCACCGCCTCTTGACGAAACTGAGTGACCCGCCGGTGTTGGAGTGAGTGAGGAATGGACAATCCACAGAATGAATCGCCGTCAGCTCACTTGCCATCAACGGAATACACGCTCGGGAGGTCTCGCCGTTGTGAAAAGGGACAGACGAAGTAAGCCAAGCCATGTTGACTCGAAGGCCCAATGCAGCATTTTCGTGGCACCAAAGCACAGGACGAGCAACAACACTTGATGCTGGCCGAGGTGTTTCATCATGGCAATTCGGCGAATTGGTGTACGGGAAGCGCATAACTAGCCTCAGGCCTATTGGGGTGAAGACGTTGTGTCAGAATTACCTCCATGCTTGCATACAGCAGCATTCACAAGATGCAATATATTTGTGACAGGAGTGGGTGTTGATATGATGGAATCAGGGCCACTAATTGGTCAAAGTGACGATACGTATGACGCAGCCTAAAGTGTCAGTCTTTTGACACCTCATTTCTCTCATAGCCATTACTGTGAGTGCCTCGCATTGAACTCGTGGTGCGATCCCCATGGTTTCACCTTCAAGCCCGTGCATAAATATCCTTGACCCCTTCTTATATCCCGCTGAGCTAAACTATTCCGCGAGTCAACCAGATGGCCCGGCATTATACCGACTCTAGGCTTCATAAGTGGGGTCATGATCATAATTTCATGATTCATGACAGGTCCTGAAACCGCCTGGTGCTGCTTCTATCATTTATAAGTTAATGGGTGATTTCGTGCAGAGTCATTCATGGTAGCTGCTAAAACGGAACGCGAGGCCATGGCAACTTGGCATGAATAGTGGCATCTGCTTTGCCATACCAGGTTGCAGTCGCCGACTATAAAATCATGTGCTACCGCTCATCTTTAAGACACCCCAAGATACTGCCCCCAATCAAGATTCTCCTCTGTCGTCAACCCTCACATCTCATTCATTACTCGATTTTCTTCTTCAGCTGCCAAAGAACAATGAAGCAGCATATTCTTCTCCTTGCCTCTTTGGCCGCTCTCGCCGTGGCCGCGCCCGCGCCGACCCTCGAGAAGGAAAACCTCGCGGCCTGTGGCAAAGGCATGACCCTTGTCGAAGGCCTAGGAGTCTGCAGGCCGGTTGAAGAACAAGCGGCCCAAAAGCCCGACACTTGCTTTGACGACAAGACGCCCACCAAGACGATTCTCCCTGAAGACATCCCCACTGGAATTGTGCCTCCAAGCGGGAATCTGGCAGCCCCCCAGCCGAGATGTGATGGAGGCATTGAGTTGAATGGCAGCTGTGTCTGCCCTGCTGGCACCACTCGTATTGAGGGGGGTTGCACTAAGAATGCCAATGCCGAAGCAGATGACGAGTGTTAGTGTCAGCCAAGTGCAAGACTTCTAGACGTCACCTAGCTGTACTTATATCTAGTAATAGACGTCACTTTTGACCAAAATTATAAGCATTGACTCAACATCTTTCGTGATTCAAGGTTTTGGAGAGGGCGGAAAGTGTGTTAAGGGGAATTTGGTTGGTTTGGAGGACTTGACTTCTTATACATGCTTTGCGGTTGGGCCATGGCCATTTTTGTCATGAATCTGCTTGGTATTGTAAGACTGTGAGATGGCAAGCCTTATTGTAGTACTTAGACTCAGTTAAGGCAAAGTCGTCCTGTTTTGGCAAATATGATATTCAGTGGGAGGCAAAACGTAATGCCTCAGTCCCCTGGTGCATACGGAGTATGTTACACGGAAATGGCTGGTTACACAAGGGCTACGGTCACGGGATTAGGGCAGAAGGTCCTCACCGACTTCTTGTATAAATAGACGGCTTCGGTCCCTCAAGGCCTTAAGGAAAACCAAGGACCTTTGATACCAAAGACTGTTATTAGATGAATTGAGTAATTGCTCCAAGCTAGGCCCTTGTCACAGAGTATGCTCATGGTAATTTGTTGTGCTGCTCAACAAGCTAGGTGGCGCCGAGTCCCGCCAACTTCCCTTTGTTAATAATATTCTAGGGTCTGACGTAGGAATGACGGGGCCTCGGCGCTAAATATCATTTAAATGGGGACGAGACATTTTGCTCTACAAGCATGTATGTAGTGTAGAAGTACCTGCCCTTGAAAGCAAATATGTCAACTTGTTCTTTTCGCTATGAATGTCCTAGAGAATGACGGCATAGCACAGAACAAGTCCATGTGCCATTGATGTCAGCATAAATATACGGCGCTTGCCTACACGCCCATTCACCATTTTCCACTTATCATGCACACGCACCGGACCACTTAGACTGACACACATCTGCAACGTCAGCACATAAACAGTGATGCCCACAGCTCATGGATATCTTTAAAATAGATCATGGCTTTGTCCATGTCAACGTTCGTGAGGGTAAGAGGAGTCGTAAAGTTGTGCGTAGAGGAGAAAATTCAAGCTCCCGCAGCCTTTTATTATTAACTTGCTGACAAGATGCCAATATAGAGCATTCGAAAGTTTCCAGGGTGCCAGTGTAAAGTATTATAACTGCAATCCCATTCTTCATCAGCCATGGGGTGCTAGCAGCGGCTAGATTTCATAGAATTGTGATGCAAAGATAGACCACAATCGCCAGCGAGGGCCGCGGGGATCAAGTGTGAGAATATCGGGAGAGGATACATGATCCGACTGCGAGGACAGCTATAGTCGACACTTGCTGCAGCAACGACATACACTTGATGGGTTGGCCATTGGCAGCTATAAGGGGAAAATACGCTACGGAGAGAGCCTCTAGGGTTGCTATCACAATCTGCAGAAATTCCTCGAGTCAATACCACTTACGGCTCCCCGGTTCCACGCCGCCGCGGCAGAATGGTCCAGCCCATGGCCCAAAGACATTGTCAATGGCCTCTCAGCACGCCATGTTTACCACGAGTAGGCTGCTGGGCAACCCGTATCCCATACCGTGGCCCGTGGGCAGTCGGAGTGGCAGGAGAGGGAAAAAAGGAATGCGAAATGTTGGAAGAGAAAGAAGGAGGAAGAACAGAAATCCCTCTCTAGAGCCATAAGAACAAGGAAGACCGCAGGCCGAAACTAGCCTGGCGTTGAGATCGTTCCAAGGGTCCTTTTGTCTAGGACAAGTCGCCAATTGACTTTCCTACTTGGGACTAGCCTCGGGTTTGTTGCGTCGTGAAGTGTTTGTCAGGCGGCTCACCCCGCAGCAACTGGCGCGACAGCCAACCAGCGGGCTTGCAGGCACGGAAGCAGCCGACGCTAAGAGGTAAGGGAGGGGTGTGGCGAGATGACTAAACGGCAGCTCACGCCTCTCATCTCACCATGCTCAGATGCATGCTTGAGACCGCGAACGACCATGCATTTTGGCATCGACGACAATGACAGGGCAATAATTGCCTGCTTCCGTACTAGAAGGGTCATCGACCGAGGTGTTGACATGAAAATGAGCAATCTACGCAAGAAGATATTCCTCGTATTATCCTCATATGTGTTATTTCTCTACTCCAATTGTTTTGCAGATTTCCATCATCATCATCTTCTCAAAACCGTCGCAACTCCTTATTACTTACCACCAAAACCACCAATCGCTTTTCACCGCAGGAAATCCTGTTGGTGTCTCGCGCAACCGTGGTGATTTAGGACAGGGAAATTCTTTAATATACTTAAGGTCTCTTTAGTTGTATAACGTGATATTTCGCGCTTCAACTATATAATAAGCGCTATATTCAGGCCAACATACTTCCGTGAGCCCATTGACACTCCTCACTGTTGCTCCATCCATGTGCAGGCCCTCCGGTTTGAAAAATGACTATACACCAAACCTGCGAGCCACAAATATTAGGGTCCCTAGTCGTTTGGCACTCAGGCAACCTGAGGGGGTCAAGCGGTACTTTGGGCAGCAATTTATGGCTATGCACGCACTCATATTTGTTCCTGAAAGGGGATATAATGTCATCAAGTCGTTCTTGATGCGCTTTGCAGTAGTGGTAAGTGCCGCAGTCCTCTTCCGTTGGATTATCATCATCACACTTGCTACTATCCTGAGGGCGAGGGATCCAGGGAGCGTCCACTGCCGTCTTGTTGTGAACCTGATGGCATTCTTGTAGATTTCGAAATAGAGCGTCCTTGGGCCCCTTTCCAGACTGGTACGCCTTGCATGCTTCCTGGCCCGCGCCACTCATAACTTGAAATGGGAGTGGTTCAGCCGCATCCCAGTCGGCTTCCATAGTAGGATCTCCAAAAACCCTCAGGGCGCGCACTACCAGTTGATAGTCGCCTGGTGGGAGGTAATCACCGGACTGAATTTGACCGTCCCATTCTTTGTCGTATAGCCCAATGCCGGTATACCTCTGGAGTGCTCTTGGAGAGTAACCCTTGATCGGAAAACCTCGGCTCTTGCCTAGGCGGTCAGTCATCCATTTTCGAGGCGATAGGGGAACAGCCTCGACATATACACGGCTTCCGAGAATTAGGTTAATAATGATAGAGGCTGAAAGTGTTGTGAAGCCCTTCTTGACAGTATAGCTGAATTTTGCACCACGATTACTGTCTGCATTATGCATATCGTGGTTGAAGCCTTGCAAGCTGACCCCATCAGACTCAAGAACTTGTTGCTTGTGTAACGAGCCCGCAAGGCCCATATATGGCACAGTCAGTGTCTTGCCATCAGAACTATTGATAGCGACCCAGCCAGACCATACCGGCAAGCGGTCGGCTTCAAGGCCCTTGGGATCTTTAGCCGAGATTGTAATAGTATCTGACTGGTTGGCGACTAGCTTAAGAAAAGTCTTGCTCATGTCAATAGACGCAGGAGCTTGGATATACTCTGGATTTTTAAAGTCTCTCGGTAGCCTGCGAGCGTAAATAGTGACCGCAGGAAGAATCGAGAGCTGATACGTAACCTCAAACCGAGCTTTATTAGTGACTCGAATGGTGATGGACTGAGCCCGGTGGTCTGTATCGTTAAAGGCAAGGCTCGGTGGTTCTATAAGCGTCGTCGCGTGTGCAGCTTCCCAGGCCTGGGCAAGACCCCCTCCCTACTGGACTACGGGAATGAAATGGCCATCTTTTTGGACCGCGGCCGTGGTCATGAGAAGACTCATCAGGTGCCCCGGATCGAAATCCTCCCGGCGCTCGGCAATGAGAGCCGCCATGCCCGCAACTTGTGGTCCAGCAAAGGATGTGCCGGAGCAATTGTCATAGCTGCCGTCGATTTGCGGACAAGGTATTTCATCGCCGGGTACGCCGACATTGGGCTTGATATCCAGTTCCCAGGTCGGCCCAGAGGCAGAAAGCCACGACATGCCCGCCGTGACGGCACGACTACCACCGGCCGAAGACACCATCCGGTGGGCAAATGAGTTGACTGCCAGCACATTTCGGCCAGTCGAGGGATCTAGAGAAAAGAAGAGGCCCTTCTTAGAATCATTACCATTGCCCACGATGCAAGGTATGCCACTTGCGGCGATGCGCGCCACAACAGCTGCCATGGGACACTGTGCCCAGCCGGATCCGTCAAAACCAGCCGAGGAAGCGATAATCTGTGCTCCGTCTTCCACTGCTTTAAGCCAGCCTGCTATCAAATCGTCTTCTCTGGCGTACCCCTTGGAATCCACAACTCGATATGCGGCAAGTGTCGCGCCGGGAGCCACGCCCACAAAGTTTCTCCGAGGATCGTTCCCGGCCAGCACGCCAGCAACAGCAGTTCCATGACCATTTTGATCCATGGGATCACCATACTTTCCCTCGTTCCGGACGAAATTGGCTCCGCGAGCGACTCGGCAGCCACGACCGAAGCAGCCACCCAAGGCCGGATGTGTGTAGTTGACCTGCCGCCCCGTCTACGTTAATATTTTATACAAAACCCCAAGTTTCTCTCCTTGACCATGGAAAAGGATGACTTACACCAGAATCTATGATGGCAATGGTAATGTTTGTGCCGTAGAAGCCCTCGGAATGGAGCATGTCCACCTGCGTCATGGCATGATTCCACGAAGTGTCGACGGCACGTCGATACGGCTGCCTCTTTGGGGCCGCTCGAGGCTTCAAACTATTCTCTTTGGCCTCATGTCTGAATACCTGCACCGGCCACACGTCCTTGACGCCTGCCATGTTTCTTATCTCGTCGCCCCCTAGGCCTGGCACACTAGCTGAGACGCCGTAAAAGATGCCAGAATTGAAATCATGATGTACTTGGCCATCGCGATGTTTGATACGGTGAATCAGGACGTCTTTGTCTCGGCCGTTGTGGCATTCGATGATATAGTTGTTGGGGCCTGCATATGTGTTGCCGCGATGCCCTCCCCCGTCTGCTGCCCCAGAGGAGGGAGCAAACGCCAGAGCTGCCCATACTAGAGCAGAGACGGACAGCCAAATCATGACCAAGGGGCTCAAGGAATATATTGGGTGCAGTCTGGCTATAAAGGAGTTGCCGGTAAAAGACGGCCAAGCAAAAGAAAAAGAAGAATGGCGATGATGGAATTAGACTCCTATTTGCAACACTATTGCGAATGACTATTACTGTTTGCTTGCCTACCGGACAGCTTATATATTACGTCAAGGTCTATCCTGTAGGCTGATAAGCGTGAGGGATAACTGTCGGCGTATAGTCTGTCTTCCAACAAAGCCATCCCTCAGTACAGAGTATGCCGATGTTGTGGGGAGAGGTAAATTAGCATCAACTAATTTATAAGCTAATAGGGCCATATCTCACCTTTTTGAGTCAAGCAAAGCTCTTACTGCTACCTTTTTTTGGGTCAAAAAGGGGCGTGGTACGATTATTATTTGGGGAGTATGATATTGTTTAATACAACAAGTATTGACTCGCGCAGGACAGGTCCTCCCTTATAATCTAACCCCTGTAAGTTTAACTATAAGTGGCCTGAAACGGGGGGCTATTTGTAGGGGCCTTATTATTAACAAGTATAGTTATAATTTACAATAATAGCTATGGATTATAATTTATAAAAAAGGAATAATTTTTAATAATAACTTACAAATAATTTTTTTTAATTAACTTACTAAGTACTTAATACGTTATATAGTAGTTTTTATAATTAGTTATAACTTATAACCCCTCTTATCATGTTATGCGGCTGACTTATACGACCTATACCTGGCTGAATAGTCAGGGCTTGAACTGTACGTTATCCACATGGAGCATCAGAGACTAGCGACCACTTGAGTATCCAGTTAACATCCAGTTATATCAATTGATAGTAATAAACCGCCTTGGCCGCGAATCGTAGCCTTGACGCGAGATGATTTCTGGGCCCTAGCAACAGCGCCCACCAACTCCGTCAACACTGTGTACCGATATCGCCTCCAAAATTCAACCCTGTTTCTAGATAGTACTAGTACAAATATAACCGAGGTATTAAATTAGGCTTCCTCTGTTCGTCAAATAACAAGACTCGACGCAAGGGCGCGAGTCCTCATAAGGACTATCGTTGAGTTTGAGGCAAATCACGATGTGGGTCGTAGTCGTCGTCAATTTAACCGAGGCCCTTCGGAGTTGCCTATACAGCTCTCAATAGATGAACTCTGATTGAAGCGCTTACACGTTGCAGGTATATGCGTCTCGATTAACACCCTACGAAAGCTACCGAACGCAAAGGTAGCAGGCTTTGTAGAAGTTGGGCTTCTTCTTGAACGGGTAATTGTCGAGTATAAAATCCCTGTACTCTGGTTATAGCAATGAAAATTGCCTTATAAAGGTTATCGTTATAGACCTGGTTTACTGCATCTTTAGCTGATGCAAGAGTGTAAAGGGTCAGGGGCTGAATAATTACATGACAAGAGCCTCTGGCGTGTTAGATTTGTTGATATGACAACCGGGTGCCATCATCTCCGATACGCACGGTTCCTGTCACGACTATAGGTTTTTACGATATTCGAATTCGTATAAAGGACATCCACGGCATGGAGAAATTTCAAGGCAGTCTTTTCCATTTGACTTCCATGATGAGGGTGCCATCGTGATCGGAAACGGGTGCTCTGCAGACCAGTCTGTTGCGTACTTGATAAACCAATGATCGGCACGGAACATGGTCCAAGTCGTCCACTATTGAAGAGTCCGAAATACGCTGACCTGGCCCGGATCGCAGTTGGAGTTTTAATACCTACAATGTGTCAGGCAGCTACGAGGGAAGGATTTTGAGATCGGGTATTGGGGGATGATTGCATTTTTAGACAATATCTCTTCCAGCCACGAGAAATCTTGGTAAATAATGTAAATCAGTCAAAACAGTCGGATAAGATGCCTAGGCCGAACGCGGAAGAGTTGTGTTATACGTCTTTTCCAATGACTCACTATCAGGATTCAGGACCAAAAACAGTACACGGCCCGCCTGGTCACACCATCCGTCTATTCACCGATCAACATTCATTGCACCCCCAGGGTGCAGTATGGTGCCCATCAAGACGATGTGAATACCAGTCATTTCGATATTTCTATGTAGATGAATCGCCCGAACCGCTGTCTCTCCTGCCCTTTTCGTCTAAATTCTTATCGGACTTGCGCTTGCCAACACAAGCGCATACAATCCATGAAGCACACGCAGCTGTCGCGGCAATTATGGCGCTTACCACGCCCCAGAGGACGCGGGAGTTGCCCTGTCCGGCAGAGCTATTCTTCTCTACTTTAAAGACTGTCTTAACGGCGGCGTGGTCCGATGGCCATTCGTTGTGATCGTGGTCCGGCTGTGCTTTGGGCTGGCCAACCACAACAGCTTCCGATGAATGAGTCTTGAGGCCCTTGTGGTAGATAAAGTCGATGCGATCTTTGGGTTCGGTCCGCCCTCCGTTGTCTAGATAAATGGGCGACCACGTGAGGCCGGGTTTAGCCAACGGGTCACTGTGGACTTCTCGGAAGGAATCAATTAGGCCTGCATCAATGGGATGCTTCGATGTGGGCCAGGGGAAGTATCCCTGTCCACAGTGAAGCTTCTTGGTTGCATTTGTCCAGTCAAGGTGCGACGGCGCGTTGAAGTCACCGGTGAAGATGACGGGGGTCTTTCTGGATTGTGAGAGATGGTCCTGCATGTGCTTCATGATATTAATGATCTGAGGCGTACGACGAGACTTGATCTCGTTCTTGAGAACCTCCTCCGGGGACAGGTGGTCAAAGCAAAAGTCGTAGGGACCATATGGCGTGTAGCCCAAATGGCAATTCCAAAAGTTTATTTCCTGGCCCCTGTCCAAGGCTATGCGTACAGCGCCACATCTCTCGATAGGAGCATACTGTTCGACCATGGGGTATCGAGAAATGATACCAACATCATCATCTCCCTGCCAATAGTCCCAGCCCATGGCTTTTGCGAGGCGAATCGCATGTCCTCCGGTGCTCTCTTGGAGTCCAACAATGTCTGCTCTGGCGTTTGTGATGAAGCGAACCTGCTTGGCGTGGTAGTCCTTCACGGGTGTACCTCCGAACCACAGGTTGAACGACAAGATGGTCAGTTCCTTGACCAAAGGCTCGCCCTGCGGAACGACTGGGATTGTAACCGTAATTTCGGCAGTAGACCCATCGGATCCCAAAGCCTCGACAACGAAGTTAGTTGTCGTGTTTCCGGTTGCCTTGGGCGGTGTACCACTGATAATTCCGTCGGCAGATATGTTGACCCAGTCATGTGTGCTTGTATCCGTAGCACTATACTTGCCCTTGGCGAACTTGCTGTCTGGATCGCGTGGGTTTTCTAGCATTCCGCTAAGGGTAGCCTGGAAAGGCTCACCAGCCCGAGCATTGTGTGTAGTTAGTTGGTCAACAATAAAGGTCAACGGACCCTTTCCGGGTTTGACGATGTCAATGGGGCTTGCAAGCCACTTGTATCCGCCTTTGGCAAGGAAGAAGGCTCGATATCCCAGACCTGGCTGCAAAGCAGAGGCATCGACCTTGACAGTCCCATTCTTATCAGGGGCATAAGCCCAAGTCAAGGAACCGCTGATGAACTTTTGTGACTCTGGGCCACCGCCAAAGGAGTTGTAAATGCCAATCCAGTTTTGGGGATCTGGAAGCGGAGTCGAATAGTTGAAGGTGAGGAGAGGGTCATCGTCACGAATCGAAATGGAGCCCCAGGGATTCGCGACCTTGAATACGACAGGCTTGGCTAGCCACTTGTAGCCCTCATTGGCAAGAAAGTAGGCCTTGTATTGGCCTGGGGGGAGATTGGCAGTTGATAGCTGCACCGTTCCCTTTTGACCTGGAGCATATTCCCACGATAGGGAGTCTTCTGTGTAAGTCTCCTTGTCAGGACCAGTACTGCCAGAAGAGTAGATGCCAATCCAGTTCTTCTCATTGGCATATTTGGTGGCATAGCTGAACGACTGAGTAAAGGTAATATGGGTGGGGGCCAGGTCAAGTGAGCCAGATGTATCCCGCTTAGGACGGGACTCTTCGTGAAGACCAGTCTTCTCATTCATACTGGCAGCTTTTCTGGCAATGTCTGTTGTATGAGCAATTGACACCTCATGGTGGACGGATGTAACGACAAAGGATGGAAAGCAAGTAGTAAAGCGATCTCAGAGACATACCCGCACAAGAGTTATAAATAAAGACAAGAACGGGGGACTTCTCTTTCCGCAAGTATCACAAGCTCAAGCTCCTATAAATGTGCCGTGTCAGATAATATATACGCAACATGTCGCGGGGTTTTTCCTGGTCAGCCATGTTCCATGCGTTGTCTTAGCCATGGGGTGCGTTCTTCCTTGTTTCTTCACCTTCTCTTACAATCCCCGCCTTATTGCTGTTTTAAGAATATCAATTCAATATCACTCACAGTCTAAATAGGTCCTTTACTAATTGGAGGGCATTCAGAGCGCAAGACGTGCAGTGCAGTAGTAGCAACGGACGAGCCTTTTGGACAATAGACAAGAGAGCGCGGAGTTCCGGTCGGGGTTACGTGGCTGCCGAGGGCTCCTTGAACGCTCCCGACAAGGCAGGCGGCAATGGTTTACAAGTGTCAGGGTTCGTGTGAAGATGAAGGTAGAATAAACAGAGGCTGGTGAACAATTGGTCCCGAAATAACAGTCGACACAATGATGCTGAAACGGAAGGACGGCAGGGCGGAGATTGGATGGGGATGAGGTCAAGAGAGGGTGAGGCGGCATTGGAGGGGGACCCACGGGGATGTTGCGGGGGGGCGGGGGGGGGAAGCGACGCCAATTGGGAGAGAGGGAAGGAGCTGTCGCAGCACTAGCCATTTGCGTCACGTCAATCCATTAACGCTACAATTCGCGCACAGGAAGGAGCGCTCTTTGGGCTCTCAGAGTCTCCACCAATTTTCACCTGTTGGTGAGAGGTTATGATGATCAAGTTGCACATGCGCATTTCCCTGCTCCTCAAACACATCTCACGCCTTGAATCCGGCGCTGCGAGGTGT